CTGAACATGTCGGGCTCGGGCGGGAAGTTGTGGCCGCATCGGGAGCGCGGGCGAAGATGTTATTCGCAAGTGCGGTAGTCACAACTGCGCATGGTTGGGTCTTTCGCCAGGCTAATTTATCGAGTAGGACGGCCTTCGGGGCTTAAAAAAAGCGTTTCGCTCGAGACATCATCGGAGAACGCTTGTTGGGCGCTTCTTGGGCCGTCTTCGGCGCCTAAGACAGCCCAAGAAGCGGCCAAGACGGCGCCCAAGACGGCCCAAGACGGCCGAAGAAGCGCCCAAGACGGCCCAGGGGCGCTCCAAGAGAGCCCAAGACCGCCCCAGGCAGCCCCAAGACGTCCCAAGAGGCCTCCACGACGCCCCAGGAGGCGCCCGCGAGGCCTCCCAAGAGGGCCCCAAGAGGCCAAACTCATTGATTTTCTTACGGAGAACGTGCGTTTCTAGCATATACGGCTTTTCGCTTTTCATGGCGTTAAAGACGGCCCAAGAGGCCCCCAAGACCGCCCCAAGACGGCCCAAGATGTTCCCAAGAGGCCCCCACAATAGCCCAAGAGGGCGCCCAGACGGGCCAAGGGGCGTCCAAGACTGTCCAAGAAGCCCCCAAGAGCGCCCCAAGAAGGCCCAAGAGGCCCCCAAGAAGGCCCCAAAACGGCCCAAGAGGGCGCCACGACGGCCCAAGAGGCACCAAGACGGCCCAAGGCGGCCCCAGGACAGCCACAAGAAGGCCCCAAGAGGCCCCCAAGAGAGCCCAAAGACGGCCAACGGCAGCCTGGTCCCCTCACCCCCGCCACCCAGAAGCTCCCAGGAGGCCCCCAGAGACCACCGAAAAACCCCCAAAAGGTCACCAAGAGGCACCCAAGAGGTCCCCCAATAGCCCCCCAAGAGGCCCAACATACTCCCAAAGGCTCTTAGCACCGCGGCTCCCAAGAGCGAGCGGTGACGTAATCGAGCTGATAAGGCCAAAGCTCCCAACAGAGAGCTGCGGCGTAATAAGTTCTTGGCGCCAGGGCACAGGGACGGGCGGCAACGCGTGGCCAACGAGGGGTCCACGCAAGGACAACGCGGGGTTTCTGGAAAGCTGGCAGCCCAACCGCGGAAAACGCAACGCGACCCGACCGCCCCCTCCAAAACAAGAAACGCGCTCAAAGAAAACTCCGCGACTCTCCGAGGCTGAGATAGGACAAGAGCGAGGGGAAGGGAGTCAATAAGAGGTGTAAGAGCGGACGAGCCAGCGATCTCGTGCGCTCTGAAAGTAAGTGCGCTTTCCGTCCCCGTGCCAAGCAGGTCTAATTGCCCTCCCGCCTCGTTTTTATCGAGTAGGACTGCCTTCGGGGCTTAAAAACAGCGTTTCGCTCAAGACATCATCGGAGAACGCTTCTTGGGCGCTTCTTGGGCCGTCTTAGGCGCGTAAAACAGCCCAAGAAGCGGCCAAGACGGCGCCCAAGACGGCCCAAGACGACCCAAGAAGCGCCCAAGACGGCTCAAGAGCGCTCCAAGAGAGCCCAAGGCCGCCCAAGGCGGCCCCAAAACGTCCCAAGAGGCCTCCACGACGCCCCAGGAGGCGCCCACGCGGCGTCCCAAGAGGGCCCCACGAGGCCAAAATCATTGTTTTTCTTACGGAAAACGTGCGTTTCTAGCATATACGGCTTTTCGCCTTTCATGGCGTTGAAGGCGGTCCAAGAGGCCCCCAAGACCGCCCCAAGACGGCCCAAGATGTTCCCAAGAGGCCCCCAACATAGCCCAAGAGGGCGCCAAGACGGGCCAAGAGGCGCCCAAGACTGCCCAAGAGGCTCTTAAGAGCGCCCCAAGAAGGCCCAAGAGGCCCCCAAGAGGGCCCCCAAACGGCCCAAGAGGGCGCCAAGACGGCCCAAGAGGCGCCAAGACGGCCCAAGACGGCCCCTGGACGGCCCCAAGAAGGCCCCAAGAGGCCCCCAAGAGAGCCCAAAGACGGCCAAAGGCAGCCTAGTCCCCTCACCCCCGCCACCCAGAAGCTCCCAGGAGGCCCCAAGAGGCCCCCGAGAAGCCCCAAAAGGTCCCCAAGAGGCACCCAAGAGGCTCCCACAGAGCCCCCCAAGAGGCCCATAATACTCCCAAAGGCTCTTAGCACCGCGGCTCCCAAGAGCGAGCGGTGACGTAATCGAGCTGATAAGACCAAAACTCCCAACAGAGAGCTGCGGCGTAATAAGTTCTTGCAGCCAGGGCACAGGGACGGGCGGCAACGCGTGGACAACGAGCGGTCCACGCAAGGACAACGCGGGGTTCTGGAAAGCTGGCAGCCCAAACGCGGAAAACGCAATGCGACCCGACCGCCCCCTCCAAAACAATAAACGCGCTCAAAGAAAGCTCCGCGACTCTCCGAGGCTGAGATAGGACAAGAGCGAGGGGAAGGGAGCCAATAAGAGGTGTAAGAGCGGACGAGCCAGCGATCTCGTGCGCTCTGAAAGTAAGTGCGCTTTCCGTCCCCGTGCCAAGCAGGTCGAATGGCCTTCGGCCCATCCCGCCACCGTGCCTGGGTTGTGGATATGAAGCCTTTTGCATATTCGTTAGGATCTCGTGGGGGGCCTCTCGTGGGACTCTTGGGGGCAGTTTGGACTCCTCTTGGGGGCCCTTCTGGGATCTCTTGGGATCTCTTTTTGGGCCTCTTGGGGATCTCTTGGGGTCTCTTCGGTGCCTCGCCTCTTGGGGCCTCCTGAGGGCATCTTGGGGCAGAAGGCTCGGATTTTCGGTTCGTGTTCCATCTCTTGGGCCCCTTTTGAGGCCGTCTTGGGGCCCTCTTGGTTTCTTTGGGCGCCTCTTGGGCCGTCTTGGGGCCCTCTTGGGCCGTTTTGGGGCCCTTTTGGGGGCCTTTGGAGCCGTCTTGAGACGGTCTTGGCAGGGGCCTCCGGGGCCGTCTGGGAGCGTTGGGAAGCCGAAAAGGCGAGAACACCCAAAACCTTCAAGAACCGAATGACAATCAATGATTCGGCCTTTTGGGGCCCTCCTGGGAGGCCTCTCGGAGGCCTCTTTACGATCTTGGAGGCCTCTTGGGCCGTCTGGGGGCCATCTTCAGCGTCTTGGAGCGATCGCTCGGCGACTCGGGGCCCTCTTGGGTAGTCTTGGGGGCTTCTCGGGGCCCTCCTGGCCCGTCTGGAGGCCCGAGCTCGGGGGGCACGCGGGAAGCCCCGGAAGACTTGAGAATTTTGGGTCCGGGGGCCCCTTCCGCGATCAAGGGGCCCGAGGACACAGCCACTCCGTGCCCAGGGGCACGGTGGCGGAGCTGTATTGGATCTGCGTAGAGCGCTGGGCAGGAGTCTTTGCGCCCCGATGTGGGCCCCAGGATCCTCAAACACAGACGTCGGTGGGGCGGTCCGCCGTCTGGTTTCAGCTCCCGCGACCGTTCGGGCCCTAAAGCGTGGCCCCAGCAGTCACTCTGCGGATGGAGGACAGCTGGTTCTCGCCAGGGGTAACTCTTCTGTCCCTCATCCCTCCAGGGAGGAAACAACACAGACACAATGAATCGTCGACCCTCTAGAAAATATGGGAAAATACGGGAAGTGGGGGGGAAGACAAAAACCCAGAAAATATGGGGAAATATGGGACATTTGGTTATTTGTGTGTATTTATTAATGTGTCCCAGGGCCCCTTTCAACAGCTGGTTCTCGCCAGGGTTAACTCTTCTGTCCCTCGTCCCTCCTTCTCCGTCCCCTTTGCCCTCCTCGCCTGGCGCGCGCTTTGACGCAGCGCCCACTTCGTCCTCCTCCCCCTCCCCTGCCTCTCCCCTCCCCCTCCTCCTCCGCCTTCGCCCCCCTTTGCCTCCTCCTCCTGCACTTCCTCCTCCTCCTCCTCCTCCTCCTCCTCCTCCTCCTCCTCCTCTCCCCCCCTCCTCCTCCTCTTCTCTCCTCTTCCTCCCTCCTCCTCCTCCTCCTCCTCCTCCTCCTCCTCCTACTCTCCTTCCCCCTCCTCCTCCTCCTCCCCCTCCTCCTCCTCCTCCTCTTCCTCCTCCTCCTCGTCCTCCTCCTCCTCCTCCTACCCCTCCCCTCCCCCTCCTCTCCTCCTCCTCCTCCTCCTCCTCTCTCCTCCTCCTCCTCCTCCTCCTCCTCCCTCCTCCTCCTCCCTCCTCCTTTTCCTCCTCCTCCTCCTCCTCCTCCTCCTCCTCCTTCTTCCTACAGCCCTAGGAGACGAACGTCTGTGGTGTCCACACGTGCACGAGAGACGCAGCCGAATCTCGCCCGCAAGAACCTGGCAACACTGCACTCGCCCGAAGGATCGAGTAGCACATGAAACAAGAACCCTTGACGGGAAGCGCAACCCCAACATACATGGGGGCGCAAGCAGCCATGACGAGAAGCGCAACCCAACGGACAACGTGGGGCGCAAGGAATGGCGTATGAGGGCACAAGAATGGATGCACTTGGCACACCAAGAATGCAGCTAAGCGCCACTCACTGGTAGGCGATCTCAGGACTCCTGGCGGCCATGTGGCAGTACATCTTGTCGAAGGCTGTCTTGTCGCTGAATAAAGGCAGGAAGAAAGCGGCCACCCCAGGCTGCCCTTCTCGAGCAACAAGGTCGTACAACAGCTGGAACACCTGGTCGTTAGCAACTGGGTCCAAACGTTGATACTCGAAGGCGGCCGTTTGGAACGCCATGCCGAGAGACTTTTTCGTATGGGAGCCGATAGGTTCAAGACACGATGCCTTGACATGAATGGCCTCCGCACCAGTCTTGAAAGCCCAGCGGTCAGCAGCGTCGTCGTAGAAGCTCAGGGTGCCTTCACGACCATTTAGCAGCGGCCTAGCCTTGAGGCCAACAAGGCGCGCGGCCATGCCTGGAGCGAATGTGTGCTTCTCGCTGTGCTGCTGAGGAGCAGTGGCCTTTCCGTGCCGCTGGGGCCTCACCACATCAATATCAGTCTCTGCCTTTGCACAGGGTTTGCTCTCCATCGCCACAGAGCCCGAACCAGTCGCGCCACCTGCAACAGACAGCTGCTCGCTGGACGACTCCCCCTTCTCGTGCGCCAGGACTGGCCCGATGGACTCGGCGTGCGTCTGGCGCTCGGAGCCCTCCTCCACCGCAGAACGCATGGCCGGCGGCGTACCAGAGAAGCCCTCGAAGAAAACCGGAAGGGGCTTCACGACAAGACGGATGTGGGACTCGCCTTTGGAGTTCTTGTGCCCGTGGCCCACGATGATAACGTTGTCGATGTCCAGCTGCACCATGTGGAGCAAACTTATCATGAGGCTGTTCCGCATAGTCGGCTCCCAGACGGGGAACAGGCAGATCTGCATGATCAGCTTGTCGCTGTGGCTGCACAGTTTGACAACGCCTTGGCGGCCATTCGCTAGCTCCTGGATAATCCAATGGAGCCTGGCTGGTGAGACCATGGGGGGAAACAGCGGCTCGCAAGTGCAAGAGAATAGCCCCTCCTCAGGCAGACGCCTGAGCCACGGGGGCTCACCCTCCTCCTCCTCCTCCTCCTCCTCCTCCTCCTCCTCCTCCTCCTCCTCCCTCTCCTGCTTCTCCTCCTCCTCGTCCTCCGCCTCCTCCTCCTCCTCCTCCTCCTCCTCCTCCTCCTCCTCCTCCTCCTCCTCCTCCTCCTCCTCCTCCTCCTCCTCCTCCTCCTCCTCCTCCACCTCCTCCTCCTCCTCCTCCTCCTCCTCCTCCTCCTCCTCCTCCTCCTCCTCCTCCTCCTCCTCCTCCTCCTCCTCCTCCTCCTCCTCCTCTCCTCCTCCTCCTCCCTCCTCCTCCTCCTCCTCCTCCTCCTCCTCCTCCTCCTCCTCCTCCTCCTCCTCCCTCCTCCTCTCCTCCTCCTCCTCCTCCTCCTCCTCCTCCTCCTCCTCCTCCTCCTCCTCCTCCTCCTCCTCCTCCTCCTCCTCCTCCTCCTCCTCCTCCTCCTCCTCCTCCCCCTCCTCCTCCTCTCCTCCTCCTCCTCCTCCTCCTCCTCCTCCTCCCCTCCTCCCCTCCTCCTCCTCCTCCTCCTCCTCTCCTCCCTCCTCCTCCTCCTCCTCCTCCTCCTCCTCCTCCTCCTCCTCCCTCCTCCTCCTCCTCCTCTCCTCCTCCTCCTCCTCCTCCTCCTCTCCTCCTCCTCCTCCTCCTCCTCCTCCTCCTCCTCCTCCTCCTCCTCCTCCTCCTCCTCCTCCTCCTCCTCCTCCTCCTCCTCCTCCTCCTCCTCCTCCTCCTCCTCCTCCTCCTCCTCCTCCTCCTCCTCCTCCTCCTCCTCCTCCTCCTCCTCCTCCTCCTCCTCCTCCTCCTCCTCCTCCTCCCCCCCCTCTCTCCTCGTCCACCCGTTCTCACCCTCCTTCTTCTTCCCCTCCCCCGTACCTGGTAATGGCTCGCTGCCCCCCAGGGCGGCAACGACGCCTGGCTGGCCGGCGGCGCGCCGAGAGGGGCGGGGGGGTGTGGGGCAGGCATGCGGGCACCATGTGAGACCTGTTACCGCTGGACACGAGAAGGAGTTGTAGACGGTGGAGGGGTGGAGGGGGATCGGCGGCAGGCGAGGGGGGTAAGTGAGAAGGGGCCGGCCTTTTCAGAAGGCTAGGGAGTTCCCCAGCCTTCTGAGAAGTTTTCTAAGCCTTTCCTGGCAGTGTGGGGGCGGGGTAGGATGAGGAAACAGTTTTCTCGCGACTCGAACACGTTATCGTTTTCTTATTCATTGTCGTGCCGATCGGCGCGGGCCCTCGCACCCCTGGAGCAGATCTTGGCTGTTCTTGGCGCCTGTTTCTAGCAGGTGGAGTCTCCCCCGTAGGACGCACTGCTGCAAACAGTCGCACTAAGCGGAGGTCTGGAGCCAGACCCCCCCCTTCCCCCCCTCTTCCGCCCAAGGTCGAGACGCAGAATAAGAAAGCGTTGACCACATGGCGCGACAGACTCTTTGCAGTTTTCCGCCTCGTCAGGGTGCATTTTCGGCCTCAGAGCCGAGAGCACCGCGCGGGACGGAGAGCCAGTCCCGGGGACGGGGTCGAGAGCTCGGGGGGCCTGCGGCCCGAGAAAGGAGAGCTGTCGGAGGGCCGGGGCCGGCAGCGCCCACATATCCCGAGGCTGCAGCGGAGACTCGTGCCAAGAAGTGCCCTGCCTGCCTCCAGGGTGCCCTAAGCTTCTTGGGCTTCGACGGTTCTGGGATGGACAGCACGACGTTCCCACGCCAAAGATCCAGGGACGTCCTGGGGTCTCAGGGTTGGGTTTCTTGTGGAAGGACTCTTGTAGACTGGCTCCCACTGTACACAGGAGGGCAGCTGGCGATGCTCTCCGGCGACTTGGAGCAGGAGGAGGAGGAGAAGGAGGAGGAGGAGGCGGAGGAGGAGGAGGAGGAGGAGGAGGAGGAGGAGCTCCCCCTCCCTCCGCGCGCACCCGCGACCTCGCCCGCTCGGCGGCGGCGGCGGCGGTTTCTCGTGGGAGGTCTCCTTGTGGTCGGACCCCTGCCGTGCTTGTGCCGTGTGCGTGCGTCGGCCGCGCCAGGGCGACGCGCGCGCGCTCGGAGCTCTTGCACTATAGGCCTCGTGGCTTGCGCCTGCTGGCCAGGCTGCTCGGGAAGCGGTGTGCGGTGCGTCCGTGTCGGGCATCGCGGCAGCGTGTCCTTCTGCGTCACATGACGAGGAGGAAACGGAGTAGGAGGAGGAGGAGGAGGAGGAGGAGGAGGAGGAGGGGGAGGAGGGGGAGGAGGGGAGGGGGGGAGGGGGAGGAGGAGGAGGGGATGAGGGGGAGGGGGGGAGGAGGAGGAGGAGAGGAGGGGAGAGGAGGGAGGAGGAGGGGAGGAGGGGGGGGAGGAGGAGGGGAGAAGGAGGAGGAGAGGGAGGAACAGGAGCAGGAGCATGATAAACAGGAACAGGAGGAGGAGGAGGATGTGATGCTGATGATGCTGATGATGCTGATTATGATGATGAGGATCATGATGAGGATGAGGATGATGACGACGATGAGGATGAGGATGAGGATGAGGATGATGAGGTTGAGGATGAGGATGATGAGGATGATGATGTTGATGCTGCTGCTGCTGCTGATGTTGATCATCATGCTGCTGCTGCTGATGAGGAGGAGGACGACGACGAATCTGATGATGATGCTGATGGTGACGATGCGGATACTGATCATGATTCTAATGCTTCTGCTGATGATGATGAGGATGAGGATGAGGATGAGGATGATGACAACGATCATGATGACGCTGATGATGATGATGATGATGATGACGATGATGATGCTGATGATGATACTGCTGCTGATGATGATGCTGATGACGATGATGCTGCTGCTGATGGTGAGGACGACGGCCACGACGATGATGATGATGATACTGCTGATGATGATGACGATGATGATGATGAGAATGAGGATAATGATGAGGATGAGCTTGATGATGATGATGATGACGCTGATGATGATGTTGACTATGATGATGATGATGAGGATGATAGTGATGATGACGACGATGAGCTTGATGATGATCATGATGATGCTGATGCTGATGAGTATGATGATGCTGCTGCTGATGCTGCTGATGATGAGGTTGATAGTGTGATGATGATGATGATGGTGATGATGATGATGATGATGATGAGGACAACGCTGATGACGATGAGGATGAGGATGGGGATGCTGATGATGCTGATGATGATGATGATGCCGACGACGATGCTGATGATGCTGCTGCTGCTGATGATGATGATGATTTGGACGCTGATGATGATGACGACGATGACGATGGTGATGCTGGTTATGATTCTGATGCTGATGGCGATGACGATGATGATGCTGATCATGATGATGATGCTGTTGATGATGAGGAGGAACATGATGATGAGGATGATGCTGATGACGATGATGCTAATTTTGATGATGATACTGATGATGATGACGATGCTGTTGATGTTGATGATGATGATGCTGATGATGCTGATCATGATGATGATGACGACAGCGACGATGAGGATGATGCTTATGATGAGGATGGTGGTGATGATGATGATGAAGATGACGATGCCGATGATGCTGCTGATGTTCATGATGATGCTGATGATGATGATGCTGATGATGATGATGCTGATGATGGGGAGGGGGAGGAGGTTGAGGAGGAGGAAGATGAGGAGGAGACAGCGGAGGAGTTGGAGGAGAAGGAGGAGGAGGAGGACCAGGAGGAGGAATCGGAACATGAACATGAGGAACAGTACGAGGAGGAGGAGGAGGAGAAGGAGGATGCCATGATGATGATGCTGATGATGAGGAGGATGTTGATGATGAGGGGGATGAGTATGATGATGCTGATGTGAGGGATGATGATGCTGACTATGAGGATCAGCATGATAACGAGGATACTGATGAGGATGAGGCTGAGGCTCAGGATGATGATACTGATGATGATGACGACGATGATGATGCTGATGCTGCTGCTGATGACGATTTTGATAATGAGGAGGAGGAGGATGAAACCGACGACAATTACGATTACGACGATGATGATGATGCTGATGATGATGATGCTGATGATGCTGATGATGCTGATAATGATGCTGATGATGTTGATAATGCTGATGATGCTGATGATTCTGACGATGATGCTGCTGATGATGACGATGATGATGCTGCTGATGATTATGGTGCTGATGATGATGATGATGACAATGCTGCTGCTGTTGATGATGATGACGATTGTCATGATGGTGATGCTGCTGCTGATGTTCATGATGATGCTGATGATGATGATGCTGATGATGATGCTGCTGCTGATGGTGATGATCATCACGATACTGATGATGATGCTGATGATGACACTGCTGCTGCTAATGATGATGATGCTGATGGTGATGATGCTGATGATTGGTGATGGTAATGACGATGCTACTGATGATGATGATGATGCTGATGATGATGATGATGATAATGATGATGATGATGATGATGATGATGATGATGATGATGATTATGCTTCTGCTGCTGCTGATGATGATGATGATGATGATCCTGCTAAGGATGATGACGATGCTGATAATGTTGACGCTGCTGCTGATGATGCTGACGATGGTGATGATGATGATGCTGATGATGATGATGATGATGAATGATGATGATGATGATGATGATGATGATGATGATGATGATGATGATGATGATGATGATGATGATGATGATGATGATGATGATGATGATGATGATGATGATGATGATGCTGATGATGATGATGATGATGATGATGATGATGATGATGATGGGGAGGAGGAGGAGGAGGCGGAGGAGGAGGAGGAGGAGGAGGAAGAGGAGGAATATGAGAAAGGGAAAGAGGAGGAGGCGGAGGAGGAGTAGCAGGAGAAGGAGGAGGAGGAGGAGGAGGAGGAGGAGGAGGAGGAGGAGGAGGAGGAGGAGGAGGAGGAGCAGTAGGGTACGGAAGAGGAAGCACATGATGCTGTGGATAAGGTGAGCAGCGGGCGCAGGGAGGAGGAATCTGACCTCTGCCCGCCCTGATCCTCTCGACATCGCCAGGCTACCGTGGCGTCGCCATGCTATGCAGGCGGATCTGGGCTTGGATCTGAGCGGCAGTCGGCTTCAGGCTTGGTGGGGGATGCTCTTCCTTCTCCTCTGTATGCCCTGTCGCTCCTCTCCCAGCGTCCTGACACATACGCTGCGAGAGCGTAGGCGACCATGGCCGAGGCAGAGGCGACGGCGCTCGCGCGGCGGGCGCGGCGCGGCACTCGGCGCGCTCCGCAGCCGCCGTCGCCGCCGAGGCCGTCTGGGCCGCCCATCGCCGCAGCCGCTCCTGGACGTGGTGGCCTCCGCCTTTGCCGCTGCCGCGCACCAGTGCTGCCGACGATGTGATCTGATCCGCAGGGGCTTCGCCCCATGCCGCCGGCCCCTCTCCTCGGAGCATGGGAGATGCAAGAGCTAAATCACGAGCTCTGGGCGCCGCCGTGAAGCAGTGTCGGGACCTGTTTGTTGTTGGACCCTGGTTCCGCGCCGATTTGCGCGAGGGGCGCAACCGGATTTCAGGAATGTGGGAAATCCCATGTGTTTTTGGACCCTGACCCCGCCGATCTGCGTGAGGGGTGCCACCGAATTTCAGAAATGTAGCAAATTCCTTGTGTTTTTGGACCCTGACCCCGCCGATCCATGTGAGGGGTGCCACCGAATTTTAAAACATGTAGCAAATCCCATGTGTTTTTGGACCCTGACCCTGTCGATCCGCGTGAGGGGTGCCACCGGATTTCAGAAATGTTGAGAATCCCTTGGGTTTTCGGACCCTGACCCCGCCGATCTGCATGAGGTGTGCCATCGAATTTCAGAAATGTAGCAAATCCCATGTGTTTTTGGACCCTGACCTCGCCGATCTGCATGAGGGGTTCGAGGAAATTTTAGAAATGTGGCAAATCCCATGTATTTTTGGACCCTGACCCCGCCGATCTGCGTGAGGAGTGTCAGCGAATTTCAGAAATGTGGCAGATCCATTGTGTTTTTGCACCCTGACCCCGCCGATCTGTGTGAGGGGTGCCACCGAATTTTAAAAACATGTGGCAAATCCCATGTGTTTTTGGACCCTGACCTCGCCGATCTGCATGAGGGGTTCGAGGAAATTTTAGAAATGTGGCAAATCCCATGTATTTTTGGACCCTGACCCCGCCGATCTGCGTGAGGAGTGTCAGCGAATTTCAGAAATGTGGCAGATCCATTGTGTTTTTGCACCCTGACCCCGCCGATCTGTGTGAGGGGTGCCACCGAATTTTAAAAACATGTGGCAAATCCCATGTGTTTTTGGACCCTGACCTCGCCGATCTGCATGAGGGGTTCGAGGAAATTTTAGAAATGTGGCAAATCCCATGTATTTTTGGACCCTGACCCCGCCGATCTGCGTGAGGGGTGTCACCAAATTTGGGGAATGCGGGACTTCCCATGTGTTTTTGGATCCTGACCGTCGATGTGAGTGGTGTCAATTTTTACCCACCCCAGCAATTCAGAGCACACGCTCAGGGCGTGCTAAACCTGCCCGTTTGGGGCTCCCCCCCCTCGCGCGGTCCATCAACAAGGAACAGCAACCAGCAAGAAGCAGAACTGTAACAGTGGAAGCTGGAAGCTGCAACTGGTACAGGAAACTGCGAACCTTCGCCCTACAGCCTGGTGGCCCCACAGGGGGGCCGGCGGATTTCTTCATCCTCCAGGTATCATCTGGTTCCTCCTCGTCCTCCTGCAGCTGCTCTGCTCCTCTCCGTGCGGCGCGGCTCGTGGGCGACGTACTCGGGCCTGCCCCGGCGGCTGCAGTGTCCCTGCCACGCCTGGCAGCGCCGGCAGCTCGCTCTGGCCCTGCCGTGGGAGTGGCGGCGCGAGGCGTCGAGCGCCAGCGCTGGCCGTGGCTGGCGCTGCTCGCTGCCAGCGGCGCTTCGGCCCGCACGCTGGCCAATCGAGCAGGTGCGTCCATTCCTTGGCCGCGGCCGGCCAGGCCGCGCCGGTCGCGCTGGCCGTGCGGCGCCACAGCTGGCGGCCGAAGGGCCCCAACCGTGGACACCTGTGCTCTGCTGAGCCTGCGACGCGCGCGCACTCGCGGCCTGCCCCCGCTGGCACTGCTGCGGCGAGGCCTGGCGTGATCGATGGGCGAGGATTGGCTCATGGGCTTCCCGGCGCGCGGGGCGGCCGCGAGGTGGGCGGGGGGCGGTGGTGCTGCGGCGGGGGCGCGGGGCGGCTGCAGAAGTCGCACTTTTGCGCCCTCGAGCGCGCGGAGGACACGCTGCTGCAGGTGCAGCACATGTGGCGCAGGTATCCAGGGTGCAGCTCCGTTGCGATGGCTGGGCCGTCAGCTGGCAGTGGCCTGACGGCCATGCATCAGGGGAGGTATGGAAATGACTCGCTTGAGCATGCGGTGGCCTTTCTCAGCCTGGCCTGCGGCTTGGATTTTGCAAACCTGACAGGCGCTCCTGAATGCGCCTGGGCTCGACGAGTTCGTCCTCGCCTAAGTGCCATTCGCTCGAGAGGGGCCTCCCTCGTCCTCCTCCTCCTGCTCCTCGCCTCCTCCTCCTCCCTCCTCCCTCCTCCCTCCTCCCTCCTCCCTCCTCCCTCTTCCCTCCTAGATCCCTCCCTCCTCACCCTCCATTCCCTCCTCCCTCTTATTCTACCCTCCTCCCCTCTACTAAGTCCCTCTCCCACCTTTACCACCCATCTTCTCTCCTCCTTTGGCTGTTTTCCCCTCCTCAACATCCCCGTCCTCCCTCCATCCCTCCTCCCTACCTCCCCTCCTCCCTTCCTTCCTCCTCCTCCCTACCTCCGCCTCCTCCCTCCTCCCTCCTCCCTTACCTTCCTCCCCATCCTCCTTCCTCCTCCTCCCGTTCTCTGTCACTCGAATCCCTCCTCCCACCCTCCTCTTCTCCTCTCATCCTCCCTCCCTCCTCCCTCCTTCCTCCTCCTGCCACTTCCTCCTCCTCCTTCTCCTCCTCCTGCCTCCATCCTCGCTGCCCTCCCTCCTCCCTCGTCCCTCCTCCTGCTCCCTCCCCCTTTCTCCTCCTCCTCCTCCTCCCCTCCTCCTCCTCCTCCACCACCCTCCTTTCTCTTCCTTTCCCTACTTTTTTTTTTTTAACTCCTCCTTCTCATCCTCCTCCTCTTCCTCCTCCTCCTCTTCCTCCTTCTCCTCCCTCCTCCTCCTCCTCCTCCTCCTCCTCCTCCTCCTCCTATTCACTTGAATAGTAGGGGTCCGCTGCCGTCTGGCTCACCGTGGGCCCGCGAACCTTTTTAAGATTGAGAGGGAAAAATGCGCCGGTCTGGTATCCCCCATGTTACCATTGCCGCCATGTTTCTTACCTTTCACCATTGTCACCCGCAATTCTACCTGGTAGCGGAGCTGGGAACGATCTCAACTCGCGATCCACGGGACTGCGCATAGTGCATGTGGACGCACATTCGCATTCTCCCCGACCTCTGCATCGATACCACCCTCCTTCCCACGAGCCGCGTATGCTTACGGCTGTTCTGCAAACCGTCTGGTAATTCGCCTTGGGCGCTCACAGGCGACGATGACGACACGCAGTATGCTGTATGAGACGTGTGGGAGTCCAGCTGCGCAGGGAAACAGCAGCCGCAGGCGTTACCTCGATGCGGAATGACTCGCCCACGGGAGCGCCACGACGTCCCCCGACCCGTCGCACCCCGCAGTTTGGCCGCAGCTTCGCGTCGGGCACGACTGCGAGGCTCTTCCCTGGGATGGTGCCGTGCCTCGTGATGTGTGCGACAGTGCTGGGTGTCCTGTCGAGCACGTCGCGCCACCCGAGTGGAACACTGAACGTAAGATACCAATCTCGCCACCCTTGGCACCGGTCAGAGGCAATATCGCTACTACGGACGCCACCTGCTTCAGCATGGTGCTCGTCCCTGCGCAGGCCCGAGCCTCAAGGCGCTTCCGCAGCTCACATCGTGGTTGAGTCGTATCGAAGGGAATCCCCATCTTGGCGCTTGGGGACAGCAATCCATTCATCACCGGATGTCGCCGATGCATGTACTTGTCCCGACTGTGGACCGCAGCTGGCCAACCCCGCATCCGCATCAGCGCGCTCAGCTGTGCGCCGGGGCGTGCGCGAAGGCAGCGTGCCGCGCTGGTGCTCAACAACGCATTGTGCTTCGCTCACTGGGGCGCCGTTGCTCCTGGCTGCGTGGCGCCTGTGCGCGCAGGCTGGCGCTCCGAGCGCGCGTGCGTATGGCCAAGCTCGTCTCCAATCGCCTCTCGGAGTGCCTGCTGGCACCGATGCTGGTTCCCCCGACCGCGCTCAGGCTGCGATTGGCTATGTCGCGCGGGATGCAGCTCTCACAGTGACCCTGCGCGGGCGGGGTCAGCCGGCGTGCGATTTCCGCCCGTGTCCACTCCACGTCTGTCAGATTGCAAGCCTTTCCTGGCATCTCTACCTCGATCCACCAAGCTTCCGACGCAGTGAATGCGAACAGTCAAGGCGCGTGCCGGCCGATGCGGGCAGTGCTACTTCGCTGCGAGCCGCCTCTCAGCTGTGCATTCACCGGTCGGCGCGATCTACCTTCGGCGCGCAAGTGGCTGCGGTTCTGACACATGCTTTGTCGAGCACAAACACATTGTCGTCGGCTGGGCGAAGGAATGCCTCCGTCGAGGTCTCGCCGGCCGACCCAGCTGCTTGGGTGTCCCTTGCCAAGGGCGTGCCCTGTGGGTCCGCACCGCTTGCGGTTTGCGCCCGTAGCTGAGCCGGCGCCTGACGATCCGCGGGATTGAGCTCCACAGAGCTCTCCGCCTCCTTTCCGACGGACCGGGTTGTCGCTTGCTTGGCCGCCATGGCCGGCCCGTCTTTCGCGACCTGGCCATCGCCTCAGACGTGTGGCTGCTTGCTCAGTGGGCCTGCGTGTGTGCGATCGTGTTAGCTCGATGCTGGTGCGCGCCCGCTCCTGAGCATGCGCAGTCAGCGAGGCCCAACGCCCGGCGCTACCTTGAGAGCGTTGACCCAAGTGCGGTTTTGCGCGCGGGACTGAGCGTCACCGGCCTCAGCTGTATGAGCAGTTAACTTTGGGCGTCTAGTCATTGATGGCCGCTGGGCAGGGCTGCCGTCGCGCGCGGCGCAGGTTCGCCCGACCGCAGCAAGGCAGGACCGGGGTAGTGTGAACACGCGCCCGCGCAACCCTGACCCAAGGTCGCCAGTCTACCACTCAATATGTTTGGATTGTTTTTTCTTGCGCAAGGTAGAAAGTACAACGAGACTCCGTGACGAGACTCACGACGTAGTTGCCGTCGACGAGTGGCGTCGGATATCGGTCTGAAAAGCATGTCATGTTTACAGCCGTGTGCATGCTCATCAGGCATGTGGCCTTTACCAGCAACGTCGACTAGAGCCGCCGCGGGTCTTTGGTCGAATGTCTGGTACAGGTTGTCTAGTTGAAGAGTTACATGCCTGAAGTGAACCAAAGCGTGGTTCTGACAGCTTCCAGCTTGCTGTCATCATGTGAATAAGTTCTACCGCGCCGACGCTGTCGACTGCTTATGTGTTGCGACGCTCAACGGACCAACCATATCGTTCTGTTCGGCAGCGGTCGCCGCGGAAACGCCCGCGTGACAGGTCGCCCACGCCGCCGACCACGCTCTGGCAGTGACTACTTCCAAGAGTACCAGAACTCTCAGGTCCCCTAGTTGGCATCTGGGAGTGCGCGTGCGGGTGGTTACCGCGCAGGGCGCGACCCCTTCGACCTCGTCGTGCGCCTGGTCGGCGTCTGCAACGGAAAGAAGAGTGGGGGGCCGACCCCTCTCTGCGCGCCGCCGACTGCCAACCGAGCGACGACCGCAGCCACGACGCGTTCTTCCAGCATTCGAACAGGAGCCCGCGCGCCCGTCGGCTGCCGTCCCAGCTCGCACGCGCGCGGCACTGCCACTGCACCGGTCGGGTGCAACGTATGCCGACCAAGGAACCTTGCAGTGCACTACATCCGCGGCTAACGGGCCAGGTCTCACCGGCGCCCTTCCGAGCAGCGTGGCCCAGAGGGGGTGCGTGGATTTGCGGCGCGTTTGGGGGCGCCATTGTGCGCGCCACGCGTTGTGTGGCTGCAGTATGACAGTGCACGCGTTGTGTGGCTGCAGTATGACAGTGCAGCGCGTTTCTCCTCCTCCTCCTTCTCCTCCTCCTCCTTCCTTTTTCTCCTCCTCTTCTTCTTCCTCCTCCTCCTCCTTCTCTTCCTCCTCCTCCTTCTCCTCCTTCTCTTCCTTCTCCTCCGCCCCCTCCTCTTCCTCGTCCTCCTTTTCCTCCTCATCCTCCTTCTCCTCCTTCCTCTCCCTCCTCCTCGTCCTCCTCCTCCTCCCTGTTCCCTCCTCCCTCCTCCCTCTTCCCTCCTCCGTCATCCCTCCTCCCTACCCCCTCCTTCCTCCTCCCTTCTCCTCCTCCTCCTCCTCCTCCTCCTCCTCCTCCTCCTCCCTTCTTCCTTCCACCTCATTCTCCCTTCTCCCCCCTCCCTCCTCCCTCGTCGTCGTCGTCTTCCTCCTCCTCCGCCTCCATTCTCCCTCCTTCCTCCTCCCTCCTCCCTCCTCCTCGGCCTCCTCCGCCTCTTCCCTCCTCCTCTCTGTCCTCCCTCCTCCCTCCTTCCCTCCCTCCCTCCCTCCCTCCTTCCATTAGTCGCCCTCCTCCCTCTTCCATCTCTTCCTCCTTCCTCCCTTCTCCCTCCTCCCTCCTCCCTCCTCTCTCCTCCCTCCTCTCCCTCCTCCATCCTCCTCCTCCTCCTCCTCTTTTGCCTGCGCGGGCCTGGCCGCGGGCGGAAGCCGGTCGAAGTCGGGGGATGCGATCCCTCTCTCTTCCTCCTTCTCCTCTTCCCTCCTTTTTCTCCTCCTCCTTCTCCCCCTTCCCTCCCCCTCCTCCTCCTCCTCCTCCTCCTCCTCCTCCTCTTTCGGTTCCTCCTCCTCCTCGTCGTCCTATTCCTTCTCCTTCTCCTCCTCCTCCTCCTCCTCCTCCTCGACGCCGAGGTCTCCGAGGACTCGTGGGTAAAGGAGAACTTGCCGCCGGTCCGGGGGCAGCAGGGCACCGGGCGTGTCTCACGCGGGGGGAGGGGCGGGAACACGACGCGATGTCGGCCGCGCGTATAGGGGGTAACCTCGAAGGGTCTTTAGTTTTGATCCTCCCCCCCTGTTTCCTTCGGCGGGGAACAAGCTCGATCCTCCTCATCATCCTCCTGCTCCTCCCCCTCCTCCTCCTGCTCCTCCTCCACCTGCTCCTGCTCCTCTTCCTCCTCCTCCTCCTCCTCCTGCTCCTCGCACCTTCTCCTCCTCCTCCTCCTCCTCCTCCTCGTGGTTGATATCGTAGTCGTAGTCGTCGTCGTCGCCGCTTCGGAAAACGTTTATCTGTTCGGGGGGCTTTCAGAAGACCCTTCCCGGGTACTGTATGGAAGACCCTTAATGGAAGAAAATCTTGGAGAGGCTTGCCCAAGGGGGGTTGTCCAGTGGGGTTATTCAGGGTCCCGCTTGGTTGCCCAAAGGGTTGTCTGGGGTAGGTCGTCTTGTCGTCATTATTCAGCATGGGTTGTTCTGGTTGTCCGAGGGGTTGTCCGGGGATTTCTTGTGTGTTGTTTTTTCCCACTGAACAAACTAGGGGAGGGGGGAGGGGGGGCAGGCTTCTCTGAAACACCCCTGCTTTTTAGAAGGCGCGGGCCTTATCTATAGATGTAAGGCCAGCGCCTTCTAAGAAGCAGCCTCCTTCTAAGGAGCCTGCCCCCCTCCCCCTACCTCTTTGTGCGCGCCGCCAAATGACGGCGATAGGGTGTCCGTAGCCATTTTGGCTCAAGTCATTTTGGCTCAAGCCATTCGGGCTCAATTCGTCGGGGATCTGGCCAGAGATGGTGGCCGTGATTACGTGAGCCAAGAGAATTTCAGTACAATGATGTGTGGCTGCATTGCCGAGTCAGTTAAGTCTCCATTAGCAGGCGTGAACGCACCGGTCGCAGCCGGGTGGGTTTCGGGACGTTGCAATGCATTCGGCTATTTCGTCTAGCAAGGCATGTTCAGGATCACTGTATGCCATCATCTGGAGATTTGACTTCACTTGGGCACCTATGGCATTGCACATCCGAGCATGCTCTGCCACTGCAGCATGTCTCCCTTTGGTGAGCTCCTTTGGCCGCGTGCGGAGCAAGGTGGGCCATGTTCACTGGGGCAGCCCAACAAGAGATGGCTATCTCACTACCCGGATTGGAGGCACGCGAAAAATGGTCCATCGTTTGGTCGCACGGGCGTTTCTCGGAGCACCCCCAACAATTCACCACGCCGAGGTGAATCATAGAGACGGGATTCGTAGCAATAACAACATTGCGAACTTGGAGTACGTGACGCGCTCCGAGAACGTACTTGATTCTTGGACGCGGCGAGACCGCAGAATAAATCAACTTTGGAAACCGGTGCTATATCGGCGACTCGGTGAAAGTGTGTGGCACCCTTCTCCGTCATTGTCCACGGCTGCGCGTCAGCTCGGAACGAATGTTCCAAGTGTTTCTCAGGTGTGTCGTGGAGCGCGCAAAACAGCTGCTGGATATGAATTCAAGTATGCAGACTCTCTCGTGCCAGAAGTGTTACCAGGTGAACGATGGCGAGCTGCTCTTCATCCTCAGTCAGGTGATCGACTGGGGGCATTATTTGTAAGCTCACATGGACGCGTCAAGTCACAGCGTGGTGTCGCTTGGTACGGATCTGCCACACGCAGTGGTTACCGGGCCGTATCTTTGGGGGCAGCTATTCTTGGACAAACGTTCTACGTGCATCGTTTGGTTGCCCGTGCGTTCTTAGGACCGTGCTCAATTCCTATGCCATGGGTCGTCAATCACAAAGACAATGACAGCAACAATAATCACGTTACAAATTTGGAGTACATGACACCAGCGCAGAATGCAGCACATTCTTTCAGATGGAGACGTCAACGAGGGGAGTTCGTCCATGCACGATCCAAGCCAGTCTGGGGAAAGCAGCAGGGAGATACACATTGGACGTTATTCCCTTCATGTAGCGAGGCAGCCAAGCACTTCCATGTCTCGTCTCGCCGGGTATACGCAGGGTGTCACGGAGTCTCCCCACTTAAGCATACGCACAGTTTTAGCTATGCCCACACAGCTCAACATCCAGAGCCAGCTCTTCTTCCTGGCGAG